CCCATTCTTCTCAGAGTCAGCCACAGTTTGTTATGATCCACACAGTCAAATGCCTTTGCATAGTCAATGAAACACAGATAGACATTCCTCTGGTATTGTCTGCATCACAATAGAACCAGATAAAATCAAATCATAACATCAGAATCTTATGCAAATCTATACTCTGATAAATTTGAGAACCTAAAGAAAAGGGACAAATTCTTCAAAGGTCATGCCCTACCCAGACTGCCACAGACAGATGTAGAACACTTGAACAGACCCATCACAAAAGAAAAAATTGAACAGGTCATACAATGACTTCCCCACAAGAAAAAACCTGGATCAGATGTCTTCACAGCTGAATTCTACCAAACATTCCCCAATTCGATTTAAAGTATTTCAAAATATAGAGAAAGAAGGCAAATACACAGTGTCTTTCTAGAAAGCAAGCATGGCGTTAATACCAAATCCAGACAAAGATATTACCAAGAAAGAACTATAGCTCAATATCTCTCATGAATATAGATGCAAAAATCCTTAACAAAATCCTACCTAATAGAATCTAAAAGCACATCAAAACAATAATTTATCGTGACTAAGGATTCATAACAGGTATACAATGATGTTTCAACATAAGAAAAGCAATCAACATAATTCACCACATCTACAAAGCAAATAACAAGAATCATATGAGCTTAGCAATTGATGGAGAAAAGATATTTGAAAAGAACACAACACCCCTTTCTGAAAAAGACACTCAGCAAAATTGGAATAGAAGGGAATGTCCTCAGCATACTGAAAAGTATATATGCAAACCCAAGAGCCCATATAATTCTCAATGGAGAGAGACTAAAAACATTTTTCTTGCAAGTAGGGACCAGACAGGATTCCCACTGTCACCACTTCTATTCAATATTGTATTGGAAGTTCTTGCCAGGGCAATATGACAAGAGAAGGAAAGAAAAGACATACAATTGGCAAAGAGATAAGATCAATATCCAGAAATCAGTGGGATTCCTCTAAAGTAACAAAGAAACCTCAGAGACAGAAACCAAGAAAGCTATGTACCATTTACTATAGGCAACCACACATTGAGATACTTGCAAGTTAACCTAAT